CAAAGAGAACCAAAAGTTTATTAAAAGCATATTACCTCAAACTTTTGAAGAGCAAATTAAAGAATTAAGATGACAAGCTTCTTTGAATAAGCAATGAAAGAAACTTATAGGAGTAACAACAGATAGAATATAAACAGAAATAGTATCTACAGCTGTATTGACGCAATCAAATATCCTTTAGATATTTTTAAAATATCAAGAATCAGAAGATACTTCAAAATATGAAGTATTGAAAATGGCAATGTATGACAAAAAAGAGATAGAGAAATAATAGAAGGAAATAGAAACATAGGATTAAAAATGGTACTACATATGACACTTGGACTATACATTAATGATCAATTTTATAGAAAAATAAAGTAAACTAGAAAATAAAAGAATCATAGAAGAATGTGCATATGCAGAGAAAATAAATATAAAATAGGCAGTTCTACACTTAGAAACAAAAAATAAATGACAATGATCAGACATGATTGATAATGTTAATTATATATTAGAAAAAATATAACCAATGAAGATAGGAATCTTATTGGAAAACAGTGTATCTAATAACTGTTTTGGTGCAACAGTTGCTGACCTTATAGATATATTGAATAGTATAAAACAAGAGTTAAGATTTAAAGATAAGAAAAAAGAAAGAAAGCAAATAGGAATTTGCTTTGATACTTAGCATTTCTATGCTGCAGAATGTGAAAAAATGGTACATGAATTTAGAAATGTACTATATATGTACAGACAAGAAATAATATTAATACATATTAACAACAGTCTACCAGAATATACATTTGGAAAAAGAATGGATAAGCATGCACACTTAATGGATCCAACCAGCACTATATTACAAGAAGTCTATCAAATGATAGCCTAGCACAAAGAGGTCTGTGCAATGATATTAGAAATACCAAGTATAGAACAACAAGATCAATTGGCACAAGTACAAGAAGTACAAAAACTCAGGTCATATACAAATGATCTATTGGAAGTAGAGTGAAGAATAGAACAATGGTCTGATGCAATTAACTAACAAGAAAATTCAAGAAATATAATGCCTGCTATAGAAACAGGTATAAGATTTAGAATAACCTATAAAGAACCTGAAATAGTAGACTTAGAAGAACAATTAGCAAGAATAACACTAGGACTAGCAAATAAAAAACCACAAAGACAAGATCAAAAATAGCTTAACAACAAAATGCTTGAAAAAACAATTCAAACTATAAATCAGTTTGAAGAAGAAGTATTCCCACAAGCAAAATCAAGTAATAGAAAAGCAAAACAAGTAAAAATACCAAGTAAAACACTAAGTAGATCTCCAACAATATGACCAAGAACTATAATAAGACAAAAGCTAACAAACTAAGAATAAATACTAAAAAGTAGGGATTATATTAAAGATCTAAAGATAGAAGAAAAATTTGAGCAATTATGAACAAAATTGCATCAAATTCAACACTATTATAACTATACTTCAGCATTAGATGATAATCAATTAGAAGAAATATTAAAAATAAAAGAATAAGTTACAACTCATAGAAAAGCTCATGAATTATGAAGAGAATATATATTTGATTTTCTAAATAAAATATCAAATAAAAATAATGTATCCATATTTGCAATAAGAGGAGCTATTAATGATATGCTCGAAGAATATGAAAGAGATACAAATCTAGCAATCACTATTTCAAGTGATCAATTCAAAGCAATGCCAGAATAGGACCAAAGAGAAGTATTAAATAAATTATTATTAGAAGCTAATAATGCACAAAATGAAGAAGCCAGAAGAGCAATACAAGATAAATACAGAGATTTGTTTGCAACACAATTAGAAACAAAAGCTCAAATGATAATTGATGAAAACATTGAAACACAATTATAAAAAAAACTGTTACAAATACAAACTAAACCACTACTTCCAAGATTTGAATTACCAAAAACAAGATATAGAGAAGAATATCAATATCCTGAACCTCCAGAATCACCACTAAAATCACTAACAGATTTTAATAAATCATCAACTAATCAAACAATTGATAGTGATACTTCTGAAAGAAAAAAATGAACTGAAAGATTAATATCTTTATCTCCTAAAGGAGGATAGAAACAAATGTTTGGAGGATCAGGATCCTCAAAACAACATATTCATAGCCCTAAAAAACCATCAAGCTTAAGAAACTCTGTAGACCTTACAAATACTCCTGATATAGTATTACCAACACCAATACTAATTCAAAACAACTAACAAACAAGAAATCTGAAATGACCTATAGATTGAAGTAATACTTCATCACCAGCATCATGGCATAAAAATCAAAAAATGTATATACTATCAATATCAAATACTGAAGAAGAAGAAGAACAAAAAATATCTCAAAATATTAAAAGAGCATTTAATCAAGATCAAGAAGCCTATAATAAAGAAAACTAACAAATACTAATAATATATAACTACTCAGTAACACCAAATTTATTACCTTCGCGATCTTCTAAACCCTCTGCTTATGCAAAATTTAAAGAATCAATAGAAAATAATATATAACAAAAAAATTAAGAAATAAAGGCACCTGCTGATGAAAGTGATAATGAAAGCTTAACTAAAGAACAACAAGAATTTCTAGAGGAAATAAATAAATAAGTGCAAGAGCATACAAAAAATAATAATCTTTATATAAAATTAAACCATATACACCCTATTAAAAGAAAGAAAATAATACTTACAGTATTATTAAATATAAAAAGTGATGACTAAATATATAGTGCACAGAATATTGTATTACTAAAACATACAATATTATCAGTAAAAATAAGAAAACCTATAAAAAATAGATATATAGGAACCCAGAATATTTAGCTAAAAAAAAAATAGCTATTCAACCAGGAATAGCAAATGGAAACTATATATTAATAGCAAACTACTCAGAATATGAAGTCCAAATAAGTAAAGATCAACATATTAGAAATGTTGAAATATTAGAAAATACACTAAAATTTTTTTTCAATAAAATATAGATTTTAAAAAAGAAAGAAATAGATTAGACAAATAAAAGAGAAGCTGTTAAAGAAAGAATTGAAATCTTGAAGAAAAACTATGGAACTGAGATATGGAAACAATTAGAAGACATATTAGAAAAATATATCAATTGTTTTAGAGAAAAACCTGAACCAGGGACTAGTGTAAAACCTGAAGTAATCCCGAAAATAGAATTAAAATTAAAAACATCTAAAACTGAAATATCTGAAAAGATAAAAGACAACAAGTAAGACAATACTCTGAAAAAGAACTGAAAGTAATAAAAAACCTATTGGACAACTTAGTAAAAAACAAAATCGTATACTTAATACAATCTATATGGGGAGCGAATATCTTAGTTATAACCAAAAAAGATGGCACGAAAAAAATAGCTATAGACTACAGAGGCTTAAATAAGTATTTAAGGCAATTTAAACAACCTCTATCTGATATACATCACATGCTACAAAAAATAGCTACACACAAAATATATACAACAATAGATTTAAAATCTGCATATTGGCAACTCCTTATACACGAGAATAGCAGAAAATATACTGCTAGCATATTTGGAAAATAAAGAACTTATAAGTAGAATAATTTACCTTTTGAAATTAGTACTGCACCTGTATACTTAATAGCTGCAGTAAATAAATTATTGTCCAAATTTGATTAGATTCTCTCTACATAGATGATTTAACTATTGTTGCAAACTCTAAAATAAAATAAAAGATAGATTAATGAGAACATTAATAGAGCTTGAAAAAGAGGGCCTGAAACTTAAACCCTCTAAATGAGAGTTCTGTGTTAGTAAAACAACAATACTCAATCATGAAGTAGAATATATTAAAATATGGAAAAATGCTTTAAAAAGCAAGAAAGTAGATAAATTCAAGACTCCAACTTCTAAAAAAGAAGTACAACAATTTTTAGGATTCATGAATTACTTCAGACTATATATTTACAACTTTGGGAAAATAGCTGATTCACTTTATAAACTAACAGAAAACAAAGAGTTCCAATGGGATGATGAATATACAAAAGCATTTAAACGACTTAAGAAAGAAATGAAAAGGGAATTAGCCTTATTATTTTCAGATCCAAAACAACTATTTTTCATGAAATGTGATGCTTCACAAGAAGCTATAGCCGCAATCTTATATTAAGAAGATTTCAAATGACAATATTATAAAAAAGTATTCAAACAAGAGATGCTTAAAGAGGAACTTAAAGATTATTCTAAACCAATTAAATTTGGAAAACACATAATAGAAATAGGTTTAATAGGATTAAACAAATCACAACACTATTGGTCTAGCATACAAAGAGAATTATATACGATATACGTATTTCTTGAAAAATGGAGACACTATATTAGAACAAAACAAATACACATTTATACTGACTCAACAGGAATATTATCAACAAAATCAATAAAAAGTTGTACAAATTGAACAATGATGAATTGGATTTTACAATTGCAAGAATATAACTATATAATATATAGGATAGTAGGCACAGAAAACCATGCTGCAGACTACTTATCATAAGGAACAACCAATGAATTACAGAAATTAGAAAAAGAAAAAGAAATATTAAAAGAAGTAAAAAATGAAGAGAAAGCTAAGCTTCAAAAACAATTAACAAAAATTGAGAAAGCAAATAAAGAAAATGCCTCTTTAAACGATCCAGCTAAAATAATTAAAGAAAATTGAAAACAAGATATTAAAAAGAAGAAACAAAAATGATTACCCTAATAATTACTACAACTACCAATTACTATTAATATCGGTACAAACAGAGTTACTACAAGAATCATAAGATGATAAAAAACTATTACTATAGCAACAACTATTAGAAAAAAGACCACAATGATAACATGAATAAACTGCAAGCTGATCAAAACTATCTTCCAAATATTTACAAGAATCAAACCCCAAAAACTCAGAATTAGAATACTCAAATTTAATCAAATTAGTTCTATAGTCTAGAAAGGAAGCTAAAAAGGAACTAGTAAAATTTAACCAACATGCACTACTAGCCAGAGCTGTGAGTTGGATACAGTTAGTCTACTAACTACTCCAGTACGGTAGTGCGTGATAATCCAATAAAACTAATCCTTACCTTTAATATATTCTATTTGAAAATCTGATTTATTATAATCATCATCTGGAAAAGATGAAGACTTATTATAAAAATTGTAGCAAAGATTATCATTATCGACGAATCCATGTGAAGAGCTATCAAAATATTCAGACAAAAATGGTAAATTTTCTGGTACCACTTGGTAATGAGTTAAGAGAAATTCATTATATAATGAACCAATTTCCTCAACTTGCCTTTCACTCCAATAAAACAGTACAAAAAATTCAAGTACTTCATAAAGAGACTTTGAGGCTTTCAAAAAAAATTGATAAAAATCTAACTGCTGATTACAACATTGATAATTATTATCATAAGATGACAAATTAATCCTGACACTAGACAAAGACATAATAGATTACAAATTGGTTGATAAACATGTAACAAAAGAGTATTATATGAAACTCCTAAAAGTATAAATGATACACTAAACTAAACAATATAGATGAAATAATTTGCTAAAAAATAAATTCAGTAATTAATAAAGATTCAGAGAATATTAAGGATAAGCATTTGAAAAAGTATAAAAGGGAGCAAAAAGTTGAAAGAAAATTGATGGAAAACACTTTAATATATAATGAGCAACATTATAGAAATATACTTTATCTTATCAACATACAATTCACACATGAAATTACTGAAATAGGCTTATCAAAAGAGATAGAGCCTTGGTATTTTAACACAAGAGTAATACCAACACGATTAGTAGAAGATATCCTTTATTTTGAAAGATTATCTTTGATTAATAAAAATGATAATTAAATGGATAATCAAGAAACTTACAAAATTTCTATGATTTTGGAATGTTAGAACATCTTAAGTGATGATGACAAATGCATTGAATATTTACAAGATAACGCCTGTATCTATAAAAGTCTAAATTGCCTACAATGTGACCAATACATGAAACTCTATATGAATAAAAGAATGTTTAGATGCAATAATCGGAATTGCAAAAAGGCACAATCTTTGATGACTAATTTATGGTTTGAAGAAAATAAATTACCAATCAACCTTGTATTTATGTTTTACTATTTTTGGATAAATAGAATGCCTATAACATCAATCACAACAGTCACATGATGATCAACACAAACAATTAGCCATTATATAAACAGTATTAGAAATCTTATCCAATCACACCTGAAAGAAACAAAACAAAAGATAGGTAGACCAGATATCATTGTAGAATGTGTAAGTCCAAATTTAGAAAAGTCAAATACCACCATGAAAGATACTATGAAGGAGTTTGGATATTTGGTGCAATAGAAAGGACAACTGAAAAATAAATATTTGTAACAGTTGTACCAGATAGAAAAGAAGAAACATTACTAAAAGTAATACAAAATAATATTGAAAAAGGGTCGATTATTTATTTAGATTGTTTCAAGTCTTATTAGAACATTAAGATTAAACTTGGACACCAACACAAAATTGTAAGCCATTTACAAAACTTCATAGATCCTGAGACTGGAGCTTACACAAACACTATTGAAGCTCATTGGAATGGAATCAAATTACTAATACTGGCAAGCAATCACGACATTGATAGCATTGAACTATGCTTATCAGAATATATTTGGCGTAGACAAAACAAAAACAAATTGTGGCAAGCATTACTTGAATGTCTTGCACAGGAATTATAAATCGAAGCAGATAATTTAGAATTCAAAAGCGAAACTAAAGATAAACCTAAAAAGAAAATAGAAGAATCGAAATAATTCTGAAAATCAAAATAACTCTAAAAATATAAAAGAATTCTAAAAAGTGAACTCTAGAAATAACACCACTAAATGGCTCTACAAGAAGAAAACCAAGAAGTAACAAATACAAGACAGTGGCTTAAAGAAATACAAATTAAGATACAACAATTTTTAGTGAGAAAAACTTATAACAATAAACAATTAATTTTTATACAATTAAATTGTGGAGCAAAAGTTGAAGTTGCAAATTTAACCATGGATTATGATATTGCCCAGAACATATTTGCTGACTTTGCAAAATTAAAGGACACTCCAAAAGAGACCACATATAATTCATATGCAACTACTGCAAACAAAAAGGCTATAGTGATGCCAAATATAGTAAAG